TATACGTCACTGAAGATGGCTAAAAAATAGCCGAAACGTTTGACTTAGAATAAAGAAAATTTCTTAGAAATAAATTAATGCGTACCAATAACCACGCTGATTCCCATCTGCCTTACTCATACTTACTTAGTTTCTTTACAAGATTTTATTTTAAAAAATTAGTTCTAAATGAAAAATTAATGGCTGTATATTTTAATTTATATAACTGCTAGATTTATTATCATGTCTTGCCATTTCGAAGAACACGTTTCTTTATCACATCAGTAGATACGGTCTTCAAGTCATAAGCCAGGCCCAAATAAGCGAAAAAGTCAATGAAAGCTGTAGTAAAATTGAGTCCATAATTTTCAAGTTCCGCTGCTTTATAATCCCAAGGAAAGACGTGATGATAATTATGCCAACCTTCGCCTAATGTTGCTATAGCAACTCCACTATTGTTGGTAGAACTGAGTGATCTGCGTAATAAAATAAATATTTTTAAGTAACAACAATTAATATTACATATCATAATATATAGAGACTATTGTAAATATTTTATTATTTTTAATAGTTTTATATAAACGCAGAGACATGTATATTTGATAACTCAAAAATAACACGAGTACGTACTTGTCGTATGGTCTCATACCCCAGATGTGAGCCACGGAATTCACCGACCAAGTAGCATTCAGGTTTGCGCAATATCTGAACATTGCAAGATGCCACGAATACCACAAACTCTCATCCCACAACCACCAAGGTACTAATGTTGGTATAATAAAAGAGCAAGGCAACATCAGATACAGATACCACCTGAGGAAGAAGATGCAAAATAACATTGGTGTAGGACCAATTGAATCAATTTTATGTTTAATCGGCTCGATCTTGTTCCCGCAGAAACAAGCTGTGACGTACTTTTTTTGAAACATTACGAATGGATCTTGCTTGAGATCACTGCAATCGACCGTTGCACCTTTAAGCGTAACATCAGGATGTTTATGTATCAGAAGCCAACCTACGTGCGAGAAGAAGAATCCTCTGCTCGCGTTATACGGATCCGCGTCGGTGTCGGTGAATTTATGGTGCACGCGGTGATCTCTGGTCCATTGGTAAATGTCATCCTGAAAAATTTAACACACTGAGAACAATGTACGATATCATCACGATACAAAAAAAGGAGAATGTAGATAAAATTAGAAACCCATTCACTAGCTCGTGTTTAAAGAAATAAGTAAGAAATTTAGACTTGGAAAAGGAACGAGCAAGGTATGCCGTGACACGAAATCACTAAAACATAGTATTATTAAAAGAATTTTAAAAAAATTTTAATGACAAAACATTTTGACTGCACGGAGTCTGCTTCAGTTGATATAAATTAATATATAAATAAATAAAAACATCAATAAAATAAATTAACCATTTAAATGAATTAATAAAAAATTCATAGAAGCAATTCAGTCAATAATAAAATTAGGAAAATCTAAAACAATGAACTCGCAATTATTCGTTCGCATACAATAGTATGGCGCATGTTGTACCTTCTCTGAGTGAAACATTGCAACATGCGCCTATTGTATGCGAACGAATAATTGCGAGTTTAATATGCGACAAAACTTTATACAGCGTTCATTGTTTTAGGCTTTCCGAATTTTATTATTGACTGAATTGCTTCTACAAATTTGTTATTAATTTGTTTAAATTAATTTGTTTAATTTAATTTATTTTATTGATTTATTTTATTTATTTATATATTAATTTATATCAACTGAAGAAGACTCCGTGCAGGCGAAACGCTTTGACATTAAATTTAAAAAAAATTTTTTAAATAATATTACAAGTATATAAAAAAGTATCATACCTTACATTTTTCCTAAACCTAAATATTATTTTAACAAATAACAATTATCCAAAAACAAATATGAAATCATACAAATTGTCATGTATTTGATTAGACATAGAAACAAAAATGATTTTTTAATAAACCGCTTAACCATCCAAAAGTATATGCAACAAAAGTTTAAAGCCATTGTCTTTCCAAATATTTTTAAGTTTCATAAAACAGGCTTAAAGTTACTATTTTGAC